CCTGTGAGAGAAAACCAGCTTCTTTTACCTTCATAAAGCTTTAAAGTCAAACTGCTTTGTCTTTTCTCGAAAAAATTTTTCTTTTGATTTACTCGCTGTACTATATATATATATATATATATATATATATAATCATCATCATCATTAGAAGTAATGGTCCAATTATTTTAGTTTAATCATGCTTGACTGAGTCTCATTCCTAATAAGGGCTTTAATTCATTAACCAGCACGCTATGCCTAGCAGGACAGTACGAGGTTAATTTAGGATGTGTTCTAGTAGAATTAACAAAAGCTGTCAAGCTTAAATTTAAGACTTTTTGTAAGTAACAAAAGGTTTATAATTTGCATATTTATACATCGTGAGAGGAAAACATTGTCTGACTTTGCCTACTATAGGATGCATGTGTAACACAGGGTTTGAGGGATTTGAAAGCTCCTGCAGAACTTTCAGGCAGCATGAGCAGCTACTTTAATGCATTGAATCTGGTGTTTTGGGAGAAACCTAAGACATGCAAAGCACTCACCTGTGAGGACCATAGCTGCCTATCTCTCAGTGTATCAGTCATTACTTGATAAAACAGGTTTTTTTATACAGGAATATGGGGCAATGGGAAAATTAGCATTAAAATAATCTGTCACTTAAGAGTTTTCAGCAAAATCAGAACCACATGTTAGTATTCATTGTTATTATTGTTGTAATTGTTTTATTTCTCATAAATTCAGCTGTTACACTCGTGTAAGAGAGATTTTTTTTGGCAGCAAACCAAAACCATTATCTAGTGAGTTATCTAATGCTGTTTGGAGATGTTCCTTTGGGGATAAAAGAGCCCATTGTCTGACTCTGGGCCATATTGCTTATGGTAATCTGTACTTTCAAGTGATTAAATGCGTGTGGCTGTTCAAAGCACAAAGTGAATGAATGGTAATCCCTGAGCAGAATTTACAGATTTTCTGTCCATGATCTTGGACACTTCTGCCTACAGTTTAGATTTTTTTTTCCTAATCATTCTTATATTCCTAGAAAACAGAACAGCTTGGCTGCCCTGAAGTCTCACCACTGACATATATACAGTATATATAGAAAACACTAGTCTGCACTGACAGGTAAGAAACCAGCCCAACCTACCAATCTCAGTTTGTTCATTCTTTAAAAACAGATTCTGGAGGTAAGAGATCTCCTAAGAGACAATATCACCACTTAAACATCCTGTTACAAACATAGAGGTAAGGATAGTTTTCAGAAAGCAAATGTAAGGACAAGTTTAGAAAGCAGGTGTATATCCAACAGTTGTGTTAATCTATGAAATAGCCTGAAAGATCAACTTTTTAAAAAACTGTTTACATAGTTCTTAACCCTTTAAAGCCTGATCCAAGAATAAAACAAACCAGAAAATTGCTTTTTTTTTTGTTTGAATTCCTTATCTGCCCTTTTAACAAAATATGTAAAAACAAAAAACAGAAATACATTTTTTATATTAATAATTTATTACTATGCAATAAGTCAAGATAATTTTTTGTGTAGTCTTATACTGGCTGTTATCAGGTATATCTGATTGTGTACAATAGGATTTTGAGCAAAGTTTTTACCATTAAATTATGCAAAAGGTGTCAGATGCAAAACATTTCAGAAACCGTATGTATCAAATATGATACATTAGGCATTATAGGGTTAAAATGTACACCTCATATTAATATATGGTGCATGGAAACAAATGAAAAGTGAGTGAGAGAGGAAACAAAAAGGTGTTTATGACATATACATCTATAAAAATATATAAAAAATGTGGGTATCGGATAAAAACCTAGCAGTTTTGAATATTCTGATAATTTTAGTCTGTAACATTAATAATATGGGTTTGAAAACTTGCTGGCCCTGTTAGAAGAAGCAGCTGTGAGGAGGTATCTGTAGAAGCGCTATTCTGTGCACCTAAGGGTACAGCAGTTTTTCATCAAAGGATTTCTCTAATTCTCTTACAGCTTCATGCATGAAATAAAAGACATCATCCGACTGAAATAATTTTTGTTTCAGTCCTTCATCTGCATGAGGAGCAAAGTAAGATAAGAACACGGTCAATGCTCCTGGTTTGGTCACTCATGTGCGACGTAGACATACTATACCAGATAAAGACTAGAATAGATGTACCCATGTTTCCTATGTAAGGCTCTGGCTATGGAGAAAGTCTCTCAGATAATGGGAGGTGTGTGTGATGTCTGAAAAGGTAAGGAGAATGCATCAGCTATACAAGGGGGTGAGCTGTGGGAGACTTTAACATCATTCTAATGGGATGGTTGTCTTGTTTCTGTGAGGAAGCTTTCAAGCTTTCACCACACTTTTATTGTTATAGCAAGAAACAGCTCTCCATGTAATGTGGCGCTTTTACACTTTCGTACTCCTTAAAATATGAAACGAAAGTATCACTGCTCTACAGGCTCTGGCTGAATGAACCACACAAAATCCTCAGATTCTCTTGGTATTATGCACTTTTGCATATTATTAGGATTTTATGTAATTGACTAACAAAAGGTAGAGCTGAACTGTATTTTTAGTCAACATTTTTTCAGTTTACAGATTACAGCAATTAAAGTTGCAGGTCCTTCAGCTCCTCTTTCTAGCAGCTTTAATATCACTAAAGTTGAGCAAGACTGGATGGAAAGCACCTGTGAAAATAAATGTTTAATCTTACTGGTTTTTAGGTGGGATTTAGGTCTTTCTAACACATCTAACACATCTGTGTCAATGTAAACTACCTCTCTTTTCCTTACACTGCAAAAACGATATAGAAATAAGTCAACATTTCTTAAATTAAGCGTATTTATCCTTCATTTGAGTAGATAAATAAGATGATTTGCCAATGGAGTGAGTATTTCTACTCTTAAAATAAGATAATTAGATAATATGCACTTGAAATAAGACAAAGCAATATTTTTTTTCTTATTTTAAATGTAAATTGTCTCGTTCCATTGGCAAAGTTTTCTACTTACCTCCTCAATTCAAGCAAAAATTCACTTATTTTAAGAAAAAAATGACTTCATGAGATTTCAATTTTTTCCAGTGTAGGCTCGTTCTTTAGGTTTGTCTTACAGTTTATTAACTGCACCCATCCATCAACTCTTCTCTATAGCATGTGATGTCTGTTCAGTGATGGATTATAAACGATGAGAGGCGTTAGTTTCCCTCTACAGATGTTTGTTTTTTATATAGGACTAGAGCACCTTCACAAATATTTGCTTTTTCCCTTTTCTGTCTTCTTCAGAAGAGCAAATGGAACTCCATGATTTTCTTTTAACACAAGCTTTGCACATATCATTCTGCAACAAAAAATGATATAGGTTGAGTGAATAACTGTTGGTCGCCTTGTCAACAGATTCTCCCACCTTATCTGGGGATCTCTGCAGCTCCTCCAGAGTTACCATTAGTCTTTTTGTTGCTTTTCTTACCTGCCAGATTAGGTGAATGTCAATGTTTTGGTTCATCTGCAGGAGCTGTAAGAGATTTTCAAAGGTTAAGATATTGTTTAAGAAGTTAGCTCTGCTTTTAAACTCTCCATATCGTCCTCTATGATTTGCATCCCAAGTTTCTGTTCTTCTACATGCTGTTTTTTCTAACGTTCTGTAACAAACATTTGAGCCCAGAAACCGAGCAGCTGGATTATTACTGAGATTAACCTATTGGTGAACTCTGGTTATAAGCAAAGTACGTAGTTTAGTATTTAGTATAGTAAATAGGTGACTTCTGTGTCACTTGGAAGCCCCATTTTTCACGATTTGATGTACTTATTTTTTGTTAACCTTACATATATGCACTACTTTGTGAGAGAACCTAAAATCCCATTTTCATATTTGAAAGGTTTGGTTTTAAATCAACACAAAACGCAAAAATATGTGAATACTTTCCTGAATTAGAACAAAAACAAGACAATTCTACAGACAGTCTATATATCTTGTTACACAGGCATTTTAATTCCTAATTTTCCAATTCCCAAATATGGTTTTAATCAGTAAAGTAATTATTTGCAGGTTACCAGGAGCTCTTAACTTTTTTGACCTCATTTAGATGTGTGTTAATCTTTCTTCCACATCATTTGTGTGTCTGGAGAGGCCAGAGATGGGCAATGCATGGCTCTTTGGATGAAAAGCTCTAGGGAGGATTAAGAGGAAAAACATGGTAGAAAAATAATCTGCAGGCATGGTGACGTAATGCTGTTTGGGCCAGTGTTGTGGAGGTGAGGCTGGCTGTGACACCAGCCCCTCCAGCAGGGCAGAGTGCCCTTTCTTCCCAAACACAGGTTAGAGGGAAGGGTTGAATATAAAGTCACTCCCAAAAGTTAAAAAATCCAAGGTCAAAAACCAGGCTTTTTAAGTTCATGTTGTCCCCGAGGGAGGAGAGAGTCCAACTCCTGCTTCAATAGATAGAAACAGGTTCTGCTCCCAGGCATCAACAGAATGCAGATTGTGATTTCAAAACAGGAAATTAGAGTATTTTAGCATCAATATCAGACTAATTGTAGTGCTTATGGTTTTAAAACAAATTACTCTCCCCCTATTCATCGTTATAAAACAAAGCATCATAGAGCTGTCACACTTGATGGTTTATGCAGAGTCACTACAAACCTTATGAAAAGAATAACCATAGCAAATGTGTTTTAGTCATTTACATTTATGTCCATGTTTATTGACCATAGAAGTATAGAAAACTTTGGGTTCTCCAGCTATAAACCATGAATATAGTTCAACATTTTAGAAATGTGATCATCAAAGATTGTAAAACAAAACTCCAAAACACAGACATGTTCAAACTCATATGGAAATCAAGATCCACACATTGATGTCATCTTCAGCTGTTTTTTTGAGCTGGACCTTAAAGTGACCGGTATTATTTGATCCAAAGATGTACTCCTGCCACAGGCGTTGCATCCAGAGACAATGTATTCCACCTGTTCTTATTAAACCCGTGTTTAATATAACACATTAGAGCAGCAGCTGATTCTTTCCTTGTCTGACCTGCAGGTTATCTGATTGTTTCCATGGACCCTCTCCCACCTGTCATCATTGGAGATACGATCACGCTGAAGTGTAACTTCCAAACGGATGGCACCCTGAGAGAAATCGCTTGGTTCCAGGTGAGCATTCAGGAAAGGTAAATGGATACTTTGGATTGAATGCAGAGGTAATTATGTTTTACATATCTAAAGTTAATAACAGCAGATTTTAGTGTGCTCTAACATTTGCTTTGGAAATGTAGAAATCTCAGGAGGAGTTGGAGACGGCATAGTCCTTTTGATTCCTAAAAGGCAGGCATCCCCAAAGTAGGGCCTCAAGGGCTGCTTTCCTGCAGGTTGCAGAGGTTTCTCTGCTTTAGCAGAGCTGATTGTGATGATTGTAATTCAGCAAAATCAACTATCAATGGAAATCAGCTGTGCTGGAGCAGGGAAACCTCTAAAACCTGCAGGACAGCGACCCTTGAGGACTGACTTTGGGGATGCCTGTGTTAAAGTTCTCAAACTAATCAGAAAAAAAAACCCTCACAGGAAATATTCCAATCTAGGTTTTGTTTATTACCTAATAATGTCTATCTGCTTTATTTTAAATGTGTTCTCTTTGCATCTTTTTACTTTTATAATTTTGCAAACCCAATAAGTGAAATATGACTTGGTGCAACAAAAGGAAACAAAGACCTTCCTTTCTGGTCACACGCATGTGAGATGCATCATGCAAAACTTAGATGTAGCCGCGTTGTTAAATGTAAAAGCTGCAAGTCATTTACATCAGTTTATAGCTATGCAGTTTTTATCCCAAATTATTCTGTATTATGACTAAGCTATTAATAGTGTTCTAAATAAATGAGCAATACTCCTATTAGAATCAAATTTAAACAAATTAGTCATGAATACGCTTTCAGCTCAAAATTCAATTAAAAGCTGGACAAATCCTTTCAGTTTATGGAAAGCACAATTTTCCAAAGAGTAGTTACAATAGCATAGCTGACTTATATAACAGAAATACTATTTTCTAAATGTTATCGTCATTTATTGGGTTCAGTCTGCAGGTGTTTATTGGTGTAATGTTTACATTCTTCTGCATGCAGGCAATTGAGGGAGGCAACGCCAAGCAGAAGATTTTCACTTATGATTCTGTGTACAACACAAGTTATTCCAACATGGAGGACACAAACAAAAGAGAGGAACTGGTTTACCACTCAACAGTACGGTAAGACAGGCTGCAACCGCTCATGTGCAGGACAAACTTACAAATAGTTTAATGCAATAGATAAATAAAGCAGTTAAAAAAAAAACTTTCATTGGTTTCTTTTACTCATATTGTGCCTTTTGTTTATGAGAAGTTCTGATCTGTTGGAATATCTGCTTTGTTTGAACAGCCTTCCTGAGGTCCAGCTGGAGGATGATGGTCTGTATGAGTGCCATGTGGGCATCTACAGCAAAGGTTCCAGAGAAAAGATGATCGTAGCATCTGGCAGCATCACTCTAACTGTTATCGGTTTGTTATCATTTCATCCATCCTTGACAAATGTTCCACCTCTGGCTAAACAGCATACCATCATGCTTTTATCGGAGAAGCGTAATGTACGTAGGTCATTTTGTCAGAACTGAAAGTGAGGTCAGAAGACCCCTACAATAGGAGGGAACTTCCACAATGTTCTATCAAAAAACTGGAAATAAGAATAACATCAGATCCACAACTTATCCTCCCATTTTCTGTCACGCTTCCTCCCTGCCAGATGCCAGTCGCGCGAGGGTATCCACAACTTATTTATAAAAAAATGTATGCCCTTCGAGGTCATATAGGCTTGTTATGCTCATGTCCAAGTTAAGAAACATCCTGCATCACGTGTGTAATGAAGGTCATGCCTTCACAGGTTGTCATTGTGTCAGGAAAGTGTTTTTCTGCTTAGGGGTGACTGATTTTTTTTTTTATGCTACTGCTCTCTGCAGTAAAGAACCACCTAATGTCTGAGAGCAACACTGGCTGAATACAAACTACTTCTCAGCCTTTTATTTAATGTATTCTTCACAAATAGAGGTTATAGGAATTCAAGAGCTCCTAACCTGGTGGCAGCCATATTGAAACATGGGAAATAGGGATGGTGAGAAACCTTTAACTCCGTCCCGGTACATTTTTTCTGAAATCAAACATTTGATAACATATTAATGAAACATTATTTTGATGATTGTTCTAAGGCCATAGGTGTATTGGTGTCTATGATTAGAATAGCACTATAAACATGAATAAAATGCATACTATTTGCTGAAATAATAAAAAAAGGGATTGATAGATGCCTTTCCTGTAATAAATCTTATTCTCTTTTAGGGTCCCAATAGCTCTGTCTCTTTGTGCTCTCTCTCCAGTCCCCCCCAAGTCTATTTCTGTCGCTGCTGCCAACAGCCCTGCTCCCTTCAGCCGTTACGAGGCCAAGAACTTCACCCTGGTTTGCATTGTTACTGGAGCAAAGCCGGCTCCCTTGGTAAGACGGATCCATCAGCTTGTTCTCGCTTCCAAAGAGCTCAGTCCCAAATATTTTACTGAGAATCTGTGCTTGCATCACCCCCAAAAAAATCCAGGCTGCAAACTATTTATAAACATGGAAGGATGTCAGGAAAATAAAACGCTTAAGAGAGCTGAAAGGAGCGCTGCTATTTTTATAGCTCAGTGATAATGAATTGGATTACAGATGAAACAAACAGACGCACAGACACGCATCGGAAAGCAGAAAGTTTGAAATTAAAAAGCTATTTACAGTATGGCTTTGGTCTGTGCCATGCACGACCTATTTGCCAAAGTATTTCATATTAATACCAGAGGATTAGAAAACAGCTGCATTTGTGATAAAAAAAAAAATCCAGTGGCAGAGAAATTCAGCTTTCCAAAATCAGTTTTAATCCACATGAACTAATCGTATTGTTACAGAGATGAATCTAATAACCTGTTAAAAATTTTCATTTTTCACATTTTTAATCCAGCTGCCAGCTGGACTTCTCTAAGTCTGACTGTGGCTACAGTAAGAGGGTAAAGTAGCTGTTCTACAGTCTGGAGGCTAAAGGATCCATACATTTCCTCTTGTCACATGTTTATGTGCCCCTGAGCAAGACATTTAACCCCAAGTTATCCACTTACCTGCGTAAGTGGTCTGTATGACTAGAAAAGCACTCATCTGATCCATTCGTCAGCAATATCTGCAACAGAGCCTTAACAGAGAATTGCAGGACAAAAACATACGCAAACCTCAATGGATTGTAGGAAAGAATGGATGGAAATGTATCCACAAGGATGTGAGAGACGGATAAAGTCAGATAGAAAATAGCCTCTGACAGTTATCTATAAGCGCCTGGCTGACAGGATGTTTGTATGTACCATGTCTGTCCTTCTCTGTTTCCTCTGTTTTTAATTGTCTGCTTTCGCATTAAGGGACATTTTACAATAAAATCTGTCTAATTTAGTTTTTTTTATTGTCATTATTATTATTATTATTATTATTATTATTATTATTATTAATGTTTAGCTGTTCTGCTGAACATCAGAAGGAGCAAAATCAGTAGAATAAGTTCCACAGTAGTTATTCTGTCCTTTTCCCCCAGCTTTCAGTCCACCCCCATCCCATCTCTTTCCATGGTGACTTAGGGTGACATGTCCAAACCGCCTCTGCTTGCCTCTCAAACTTTATATCCAAACCCAGGCTGTTTCTCTAATCTGCTCTGATCCTGTCCACCCTGGTCACTCACAGCATCTCAACTCTGCCACCTCCAGCTTCCGTTTTTTTTGCTCCCTCAGGCTCATTTGCACACAAATATATTGCCCTGCTGATCTTCTCCTCTCTAAATCAAACCAACTACCCTCTAACTTCTTCTGCACCCGCTCCCTATTTCAATGTCAGTTGCAAACATGTGTCATTTTTCATCAGTTTAACTTGCTTTTGCTTGCAGGTTTACTTCAAACGGGATGGTGAGCTTATTGATGTGTTTCCCACGGCTCGTTCTTCTTCTTTGGTGGGATACCACAGTAAGCGCTCCAGTCCAGACAAAAACCGAGGTGGAAACCAGGTTCTTCCCAGGGGGGACCTTGATGACACCAAAATCCACAAGTCACTGTCCCTGCAGAATGAAGCTGGGAAGCTGACTCAGCTGAGACCCAATGAGACAGATTCCTTTGAACACAGTGAAGAGGAAGGATCAAAGTTAAAGCTTGAATCAACCACAGAGCAGATCCCTGAGACGGTGGTGAGCAGAGAGTTTCCCCGCTGGGTCCAGAGCAGTGACCCGCTCTACTACTTCCAGCACTGGCAGCAGGTGGTGGGGGATGGCACCATGGAGGTTAGAGCAATGCTGACCTGGAGCCTCAACCCTCAGCTGGACAATGAAGCCCTGTTCAGCTGTGAGGTCAACCACCCAGCTCTGTCCATGCCCATGCAGGCCGAGGTCACACTCAGTAGGTTCCTGTTCTCTTTCTTCTTCCAGCACATTAAAAACATATCTTTTAAATGACTAAATATTAATTATATTAATCTTAGACTTTCTGAAATCTGTCTGCAACCTGCGGCTCTGGAGCTGTAAGCGTCTCTCTAGAAACTTAACAATGGCTCCTTATCACTTTGGCTAAAATTATGAAGAGAAAGAAAATTATGAAAAAAATGCGAAAATTGTGTTTTCGCATTTTCTACACTGAATTAAGAAATAATGAACTCTTATTATAACTTTCATTATAAGAGAAATACATTTTCTGATCTTTTTTGAATACTTTTTAAAGATAAATTGTAAATATATCAGGAAGTTGTAGATATTTGTCAAATAATGCCAAGGTGGGGTAGAGGTTGGTAGAGGACCAAATGCAGAGATGAGGGAGGCAGAGATGAGTTCTTGCAGGTTTAATTAAATCAAAAATGCAACAGAAACAAAATCCAAGAAAAAAAATGCAGGAAATCAAAAACCAGAGAGACATTAGGGACATGGGAAGCCAAGTAACAACGAGGAACCAGCACTGAAGAACTGCACAGGGATAGTAGATATGGGAGACAGAACAAAGACTGGGCTAATCAGCTGATATGGAGCAGGTGTGGATAGAAGTGACTAGAAGGGAGCAAGGGGAAAGGAGACAGGCATAAAGGGCCATCAGAGAGTAACTCAAGACTGCTTAGATATAACACAAAGTGGAAAATAAACCAAAACTCAACAATAAAGAATGACTTTTTGAAAGCTCAAAACTCAACATTTTTCTTTTCTTCCCCCCCCCCCCAAAAATATCATTTTAAGTTTGCTCTAACCTTGGATTATCTGCAGGACTGGTCTTTTTTTCCTTTCACCAAATTATTGACTGTAGTTGTAATAAAACAAATAGTTTTGACCTTTTTATGCAGAACATTTTTTTGTTTTTTAAAAGATAATTTTCCAAAACATTTTCTAAAATGATTTTTTTTCTTTTTATTTTACATGTTTTTTTTCCTTCATTTTAAAATCTAAAATTGGTATTTAAAAAGGGAAAATCTCCTGTGGTAGATATTTATAGAAAATATGATTTTCTTTTAAAGAGGAAATTTAGTATTTGCAGCTCTGAACAAGTTTTATTAGCTGGACAGTAGTCAAAAGGGACTTTTTAGATTACAAGGGTTGCAGACCCTGGAAAAAGGCCAATAGTAACCTGAAAGTGCAGCTGGTTTTGGCGGTCAGGCCCAATAATTAGAAGAATCAGCTTCCAGAGCTTTACTGTTGCAGGTTGGAGCGTCAAGAAACAGAAATATTCAGTCATTCTTTGGGAAAATAGCTTACCCTCCATCTGACAGGATGGAGAACATCATAGAACAATGTCAACTCTTGCAATAGATTGTCTATTTGATATTGGCTGTGATTTTCCTGGGCTGTTCTAACACATTGATAAGCTTCTGTACAAATGATTCCCCTGGTCATGATTTCTGCTGGAAGGGGGGATCTAACCTCCATCTCTGATAACAGTCTGTTTCCTCTGTAGCATCCAGGGTTGTTCTTATTTCAACTCCATCTTTTCATCAACTCTGACCAGCTTCATGCTGAAGAAAAGCATCTACACAGCATGATGCTGCCCCCACTGTGTTTTACAGTGGGGATGGTGTGATCATGAAAATGTCCAATGTTAGTTTTTCTACATAAATGTCATTTTGCATTTTGGCTAAAAAGCTGTATTTTGGTCTTATTTGACCTACACCTACAGGCTGGCGCCAATTGGCAGGAAGGACTTCTCGTAGTTTTCTTGTTACTTCTCTGTAAAGATCAAATGAGTGGAGGGCATGACTCACAGCTGTGAATCTCTGTAGCTCCCCCAGTGTAACCTGGTGCTCCTTGGCTGCTTCTCTTAAAAATAATTATTTATTTCTCCAAAATGAGAAGAAGCTCAGCAGAGTTATTACTACGGCTGGACAGAATAGATCCTTAACATGAAAGCATGTATCGTTAATGCTATAACAGTTCAACATCGGATCCCATTTCTCCTTCTTTCTCCTTCTTTCTATTAATGAAAACAGGAACTGCCTAAAACGTTCAGGATCTGAGTTGTGTTTGTTTAAATGAGTCATTCAAAAAGTGTCTTGAAGCGAAAGATTACCAGACCTATTAACATTTCAGGACTGGGAACCATTAAAGACTAAAGGATAATTATGGAGGGCAGGGAGACATCTTTATACACTAAATATGTGCAGCACATATAAAGCGGAAATGACTGTTGATCTGTGGTGTATTTCTGGTGTTTTTAGGTAATCATTCATCAAACTAAGCACCACCTCTTCTTCAGTTAAGGCCAAAGTTTATACGGACAGGCTGAGGTTTTCTGTGCTGGATTAGTTATTTTAAAGTGATCCTCTGTTTTCCTCTCAGCTGCTCCCAGAGGACCTAAACTGTCCACCAGACCCACCAAGGCCAAAGTGGGAGACACAGTGCGGATCTCTGTCCAAGGCTTCCAGCTGGGACCTTCTGCTGTGAGTTAACTTTTCAAAAAAGTAATAAAACTGCTACTAACAGGACTGTGCTGTGTATACCTGTAACAATGAATTACATCATACACAAAAACAAAAACTGGTTCTTTTGAGGAGACCTCCAGGAGGTTAAGATGCCCAGGGTAGAAACAGTAGGAGACTCCGTTAAAAGTAGATCTATATGAAAAATGAAATCAAGAAAGATGATGATCTCTGGGCCCTCTAGGAGAACCTGATGCATCTTCTCTGCAGCTCCCAGCTTGATGTTCTATAATGATGTCGAAAATGGTCTTTCAGCTGCTTTATTCTCAGCAGCAGTTTTCTGCATGCGAATCCATTTTGATATAATGTGACTACTGCTCACCTGTCTTTGCAGGTAGTCAATCTAAACACAAGAAGAGAATGATTTCAGCTCGTCTATTCCTCTTTTTTTATCTGTTCTTCACAGGGATTGATTCACAGCCCCTGATGAAGATGAAGTGTATCTTCTCAAACTCAATGAGTATTAGGGATTATCTTTAATGTCTTTCAATACTTTTTCTTCCTTTTTTTTTAAATATTTTTTTAATTTTTATGTTTTACAATTTTTTAATGTTTATGCAAAGAACATCAATATCTTGGAATTTAATTTCTGATTTTATCATGGACGGCTATAGACTGAGGCAAACGGGGGCCAGTGCCACTGCAGATGGCCCCTGCAGCGGAGACATAATACAATATAAATTAATAGTAAAGAAATAATATTTGCTGAAACAGAAACCACAACTGATAGGTCCCTTGGAACAATTTAATTATTATTTTTTACATTTTTTATTTTATTAGTGATTAAAAAATTAAGTTGTTGCACTTCAGTTCAGTCATATTCAGATGGGATCACAGTTTTTATTTGCTAGATCTGAGGCTTCTAGAGGTGCAAGTGGCTCTTTGCTTCATTTAATATATAAAAAGATTCACTTTTGCCCTGTTTTAGTTGGTGCCTGAATAGAAAACCACTGGTTCCACCCGGGACCTCCTGGTAAATTTGATCTAGAACCTCCACTGGATTTAATTCTTAACATCTGAAGCCAACTGGCAACACAAATCTAGTGCATCAGAGTAAAAGGGGTTGAATATAAATGTGAAAAATATTCAGATATTTAGTTAGCTTTAAGCAGCTTGTAACTTTTCCTTTTGGCTTCCCAAATTCATAACCCTGTGTTGGTCTCCCTCATTAAAACCATTTAAACTAGAAGCTCCAATCTAAAAAAGTTTGGATCGGTTTGGTGCTTTTGTGACTTTGTTTATTGTCTACATAAACAGACCAAGGTCTTCCCAGAGCCTTTGTTCACCTGGACCAGGGTTGGTGGGAATATGCTGGACGGCAGTGAGAAGCATGATGGGAGGGAGCTGGTTCTGGAGCGGGTCCCTGCGGAGCTGAACGGCTCCATGTTCCGCTGCACAGCCCAGAACCCTCTGGGCTCCACAGACACTTACACCCGCCTCATCGTGTTCGGTGAGTCTCTATGTGTGTGGCTCTTTAGCAGCTGCTCAGAACAATGGCATCACTAACGGTTTCATTTTGTGTTTCAGAGAACCCTAGACTGAAGAAAGGAAGAGAACATTTTATCGGTAGGTTCATTAATAGGCAGGTTCAGTGGAAAAACAAAACATCTAAATTAGAAGTAAATACAGTAATGTATTCATCTCTAAATAAATAAATCAACATTGCAACAAATCTATCAATTATAAAAGAGAAAATTTTTTGGGAAAAATTTGATTGGAAATTTTCTCTAAATCCTGTTTTCAACTGGATTTCTTCCAAAGATGGCTAAAATATTTATTTCACTTTATTTTTTAAACTATGACTAATAATATGGACTTTTTCTGATTTTTTTAATTTGCTGTCACATGTGGTCCTTTTACGTTTAGTTTAGTTTTAATAGATTGAAGAGAGCAAGGACAGTTCTGGCAAATGTTTGACATTTCAGGTTCAAACCTCTTAAAAATGTTGAAAGCACGATGGTAGAAAAACATGATATGAATTGAAAAAAAATTAGGAATGCAAGGAAGCATTTTTTTTTAATCATAATGCTGAACTATTCACCATCACAAATTGCATTTAAACAATGTTAAACAAAATGACTCACAAATTAAAAATTCTGCACAGCTCTGAGGAAGACCAATACAAATGAGCTAATTAAGGTTAACAGGTTATAGAAGATAAACTAACTTGGTAAACATGACTTTTTGATCCAACCTTAATATCTTTAAATAATAAATGCAAGTGTGATTGAACCAGCTACTGAAATTCAATCCAGACTTCATGACAGTCCCTCTGAGGGAACTGGTGGCTCATCGCCTAAAAATAAAATCTGAAAACAAGCAAAATCTTCCAGTTAAATAAGCAAGTTATCTCTGTGTAAAGAACTGTGTAAGAACCTGATTCCTGAACTGGGAATCATACCAAAAAAAAAAAAAAACGAACAAAAAACATTTGTTTTAAAATCAAACAATAAAGATTTTTATATTTAGGATGAATGGCTGCTACAGAGGGCTGCACACGGATGCAGTGGGCAGCGCTGTTGACTTGCAGCAAGAAACATTCTAAGTTCGATTCCTGGCCCGGGGTCTTTCTGCATGGAGTTTGAATGTTCTCCCCGTGCATGAGTGAGTTCTCTCCGGGTACTCCCACAATCCAAAAGCATTACGGTAGTTTTTAATTGGCTTCTCTACATTGTCCTCAGGTCTAAGTGTGTGCATGGATGTTTGTCCCTGACAACTAAATGGGAGAAAATTAATGGATAGGTGTTGCAGAAATCTAGAAGCACAGCTACTGTAGAATGTTTAAGATGCAGATATTGTCAAATCAGTGAAGCTGCAATGAATTTCTACTATTTTGTGTGCAGCCATCAACGAAGCAGCTCGTCGGCCCTACCTCGTCTCCAACATCCTTCTGCTGCTGAGATTTACCTGCGAGCTGACATGACCTGAGCTCTGCGGATGAGACAGAACATCAGCTGCCCTCCTGGTAGAAGCTTCATCTGGTGATAAGACTAGACTTCGAACTGAAGCGTCACCATCAGACACAGAACCTGCAGGACCCACATGCTTTATTGTGGTTGGAGAACATTGGTGTGTCAATGTTTGAGCTGAGGAACGGTTACCAGGCCAGTCCTGCTCGTCTGGACACAGGCGACTGCATTTCTGCGGGACGATGTGAACGGATAGGATCACATTTTTTATTCCTGATGTAACCAACCCACAGCATGACTGAAACATAATTTTTAAACACAAATTTTCTCAAAATGTTTTATTGCACAGATATTAAAAGTTAAGTTTGAAATGGTGCCTTCAAATACTTTCCATCAGTCAAAAGGAGCAGAATTCTCCATAAAACACCTGAAACCAAGATATCAGGAGAAAATCTACTCCTGAAATTAAATAGCAGCTTTCAAAGGTTTGCGTCATCTGAACTGATCAAACTACTTCAACATAAAGGATAGCAGGTGTGACTACAGAAAATCCTGTGTAGTAAAACTCATCCGTCTCCTGATACGATGAAGAAGAGACACAAAACGCTGAGTCCCGCTGTCTGATGCTTTATTTGCTGCAGAATCTCAGATAAAGTCCTTCCTCCTCATATTCCTGTCCTTTGATTCAGCTGGGACTCGAGCAGACAGGGATTCTTTGATATGTGCTTATTTAACCACACTGGCTCATTAAAATCTCTAAAAAAGTGAAAGTCTGTGAAAGTAAAAAAAAAAAAATCTAATCTCCGAGTCCTGCACATCTCACCTCCTTCAGGTTTTTTGTATACTATCATACAAACACACAGATCTAAAAGGCAATTTGTTAGAGTTTATATGATCGTCTCATAAACATCCTATCTTTATTATCACAACATATATACAGTTTATAGAGCTTCTATGTAGACATATTTACAGTTCTGTTTGTCGATGAACATCCAGAAAAAATAGTGGTTTACTCAGTGTTTTAAGTTCATGTGTCTGAAAGTGCTCGGGATGACGACAGGTCAAAGGTAGGTGGATGTTTTCTATTCACAGCAGCTCAAACAAGGTCAGCACAACATCCTGTAGTCTCATCAGAGAAGCTTTAGGAACCCAGCAGGAAAAGTTCTGCATCAGAATTCAAGCAGCATGAACTCCTCGTTCTCATCATCCGGCAGCATCAGCTGCTGCTCGTAGTACAGGCTCTTGGCATAGTTGATTTCCTGGGAGATCTTCACAGCGAGGTTCTCACTCTTCACGTGGACCTGGAGACAAGATTGTTACGATTACAAACTGTAGAAACCTCTGTATGTCTCTCATGCTCATGGGTGGGAACATTAGTGGAGTTTCGAGTGAACATTAAGGGTTTAGGAAGCATGGATCACTGCAAACACAGAGTTTTCAGAACGTGAAAACATTTAGCAAAGAAACAGCCTAATATTTTCTTCCTCTGGGTTAAGAATTCTTAAAATCATAAATCAGTGGTCATATTTTCAGCTTTTATTTTGATAAATAACTTACAGCTGATTAATAAAGTTCAGTCCAAACTCTCATCTTGTCAATAAATGTCTAAAAATAAATGCTTAATCAGCAATCCTTGATTGGAGCAAAGTAATCAGCAAAGGGAGCCAGTGTTGGCAACTTGATTGAATGAATGTGTTTAAATTATTTGTAAACTTTAGTTCCTACCAGGTACTGAAGACTCTACATGACAGGTGTTTAAATGAGTTAAAAAAATAATTTAGGCTTTTCCTAAGCAAGTTTCTAATGTTTTGAAGCCTTTCAGAGCCCCTGCATCTTGCTTTTTGCTATGGAGTCGCAGGAGCCGTCACACACCTGCTTCTACAAACCCAGTGTTACCTGGACAAAGCAGGCAGCACTTTGAGGATCCTGTTATTCAATATCTACAGCCTGATTCCATCCAGATAAGGAAGCAGCACCAGAACCAGATACTTTATATAGAATTTTTTTTGAATGATTACAGAAGATCCTGACTATCCTCTTCGCCAGGGAGCAGAGGATTCTCCAGATCTACTGCAACGCTGATCCAGACATAATTTCATTTCCTATCTACAGATACGGCCTTATTTATGGAAGTAAATCTGTGTCGCTGGGATTTGAATTAAAAATGCCACTGAAATTTAAATGTTGTATGTTTATACTTACTGTTTCACTGTTAAAATATATTCAGAACACATTTTTGACCTAAAAAGAGGTTCATTGTCATTATTTCTACACAGTTGAGATTTCATTTGTTATTTTCTCTTCAAGCTATAAATTTACATTACTTTTTCAAAGTGATTACATTTTCAATACTTATTTTTCAGCTTAATTTTTTAGCGTTAAAAAAAATCTGCAGATAAAAAAATTAAACCTTTCAAAATTCTAACTCAATATTTTCAGCCTCCTGAGATGCAACTGGCTCTATTTCAGCGTCTTAAATTCGGCGTCTAAATTCAGTGAAAAAAGGGAAGGGTTACTTCAGGTCACAGACATTAGCAATGGATTGTGGCGTCCAACACCCAGCCAATCCCGTTACGTTTTCTTAGTCATGTGACGTGACGCTTGTGGCGCTCATACGGAAGGAAAACCAGCATGACGGAGCCGGTCATGCAAGCTAACGCTAACTCAACGGTGAGTTTATTACTTTCATTTTTCTGTAGTTGAGTTAGTTGAATTTTTTTATCTGCAGATTTTTTTAACACTCAAAATGTGAATTTTTAGCTTGAAGAGAAAATAACAAATGAAATTTCAACAGTGTAGAAATAACGACAATGAATTTTTTTTTTAGGTAAAAAAAGCGTTCTGAATATATTTTAACAGTGAAACAGTAAGTATAAACATACAACATTTAAATTTCATTTTTAATTCAAATCCCAGCGACACAGATTTACTTCCATACCTGATGGGTCAGAACCTCACCATGGGTTTCTGGTGGGACGGCCCGGGAATAGCCACCCCACTGCTGGTGTTCTCTGCTTTCTTAGTGAGCTGCACGTAGACTTTCCCATGATCCTTAGACACTAGACAGTGGAAGAGGTCGTCGTATTTGACCTCCAGGAAGATTCCCTCTCGGTCAACGTAGTCCCCTGGCTTCAGGAAGTAAACCACTTTGGAGGAGATTAGGACGCAGTAGGTGTCGATCGGCTCCACTGCTATGAAGCTGCAATACAAAACACAGAGACGGGTTCTAAGCTCGACAGAAGCAGATCTCCTATGGTTCTGATTTACCCTGAAGGGACTGAAAAGCAGAAAACTTACAACTCAGAGTGAATGTTGTCTGTGAGGCGGAATAGCTGCTCCTGCCCCTCTGCCTGTGTGATGGAGTATCGGGGCAGCAGACCCTGAGGACCCTTACAGCAGCGAGGCTTCCTGACCCGCTGCACAGTGAGTCTGAACCAGACAGAAACACAAACACTCAGCTGTCTGTCCCAAAACCAACCAGCCTCTCAATGGAATCACTGAATAATGCTGAATACGTAACATTCAAGGAACAAACAAAACAAGAAAACCTTTGTTCTACAGCTTTTAGGAATCAGGACTCAGTGAAACAATCTGATCTTTACCAATTTCTGAAAATCTTTTAATCTGATCTCAAGAGGACAAACAACAGATCAAACATCATAAATTTTCAAACAAAGATGACCCCACCTCTATAAAAGCTGGAGTTTTTCATGTTGCAATGGAAGAATGCTTTAAACCCAATGCATGGGAAGAAATAACAAAGCAATGACCTAACAGTTGGTTCTGGGTGTCAAAGCATCTAATATACATGCAAAGTTTATGGTGGACGACATTAAGCAGTGTTGAGAGGTCCTGCGGTGTGTTCAAGTATCGGTACGTGCAAAAAACTAAGAACCTGACAGCCAAACAATCTCTGAATCTCTGAAATCCAGAAGCTGCATTCATTCCCAACCAGAAGAGAGGAAACCTGCCCACCTGTGGTTACTGAGGCTGGCTATGTCCCGGACCGTCTGGGCCGTCTCTGAGGCAAAATCCAACGCTCCAGCAACAGGTTTGGTCACAGTACCCACCAAACCTTTACCGAGTCCTGAGAAGAAGCCACTGACTCCACCCTCTGTCTTCACCCCCTCCACCGTAGAGGTGATGATGCTCGTCATTCCCCCAATAATACCTGGAGAAAGGAAGATTATTTCAACTCATCTATTAAAGTATTGACTGATGCAGCAAACCCTCGGCCTGAGAGAGATCAGCTGTGTCTACCGATCAAGAGGTACAGAAATATTGCTCCGATCTACCATGAGCGAGTCCATGAATCCCTGCCACCAGGTGCTCTCCACTAGTGGCGCCGTGGTATCTGATGTACTCCCGCTCACTCTGGTGCCGGTTGTCCATGGTTTTACCAAGGCCATCTGATAATGTTCCTGCGAACTGAGGGAGAAGGCAGAAATATTCACAACACCTCACAGATCAGACAGTATTTAAGCATTTCATCCAGTGTGGACATGGATCCGGGCTGCACAGAGGCGCACCTTGGCAGCAGAGTTGGATACTCCGTGCGTCACATTGCGTATTAAGCCTCCTACGTTCCCATACTTTATGAGCTCAGAAACGCCCTCTGTGACATCATTGAGGAGGCCCATAGGGTTCCCCAGGAAGTCCACGGACCCGAGGATCTGAGCTGCCTGGCTCATGAGCTCCTGCAGGTGGAAAGCAATCACACAGTAAAGACTTTGCAACACATTTCAGGCTGTGTGGCTCAGTAATAAGTGACCTCTGACCTCTCTGAAGTGCTTGAGGATGTCGTTGATGATGATATCTTGGGTCTCGTAAGGGTGCACTCTGGTAAACGGGTACATGTTGATGACTGCGTCCTCAAAACGGATCAGGGGGAAGCCGAGAGTGCCTTTTAAAGCCTGTTCAGAGAAACATCCATCCATAAGATACGACCAAACATGAACCATCAGCTCAAATTCAAACACTAAACCTTTTTATGTTCAAGCTGGTATGCTTAACATCCTTTAAATCTAGAAACCTAGAACTTCTGTCTCAATGCAAACCCTCCTCCAACTCTAAGACTGGGAGTAGGGTTCCTACCAGACATTTCCAGAGCAAATTTTCAAGACTTTTCACCTGTTTTTATGATACTAGACATTTAAGTTCTAATCTTTGCCTCGTTGAGTCCCATGACCGTTTGATATTAGCATTGAAGCAGGTTTCCAGTTTGATCCTCTGATTAAAGATAATTTCAAAAATATGTTTCTGCAAAAATTATAGTTTGCAATCATTTCCTTAAAAATCCAAAAACTATCAGATTCAACGCTTTATTTGGAATCTTAAACCAAACCAAGTTCAAAAACATTGTTTTTTTAAAACCCACAAGAATATGCAGACCATAAAAAATGTAAAAAAGTGGCTTTTTGAATTTATTTAAAACGTGATGAACTCTTATTACGTCAATGATCATTGAGCTCAACAACAACCAAATGTATGACCTTTCAAACTAACTAAAAAGGTCTATTTCTCAAGATATATCAATATAAAAGAAAACAACTTTATTAGCCACATCTTTTTTACCTGATAGCCCAGGAGCTGACATGGGGGAAAAGAATATACAACGTTCCCACAAAATACTAATTTCTGCACACGGAGTACTTTTTGTGGGCACTATAAGAGCATTTTGTCATGATAAAATAATTCTGGGGTTCAGCCTTACCTCCTTTTTCTAATTTCATCTTTAAAATGTCTTTTAGAGTCTAAAGTCATGCATTTTTCCTCTTTATGTTCATCCTTGTTGGAACGCAGCAGCGCAGCACTGACTACATTTTATTCTACAAACCCCTGGAGATGGCCCATCATGGTTTCACTAACTACTGGTACTGGAGAGTTGACTTCCAAAACCACCTTTACTCAACTAGAAAGCAGTGAGGACCAGAAAATTAAGGGGTGAACCTATAGGCTTCACAATTAGAGCCAATTGCTGGTGGGTTAAAGGCAGAGCAGAATGGCGTCTGCATATGTCCGTCCAGACAACAAACTAAGCATGTGCTCACAGTCAGCCTTCAGCATGTAACAGTAAGAGAGGAGAAAGGATTTCTGCTCATGTCAGAGATCACTGCTGTAACAGTACAGAGGATTGAGAGAACAGAAAGAAACTGATTAAAATAAATTGCTGGATCAGCGTAATGACACAGCATAACAGGCCCTGTGTGCGTAAAGCGCTGCTGCAAATGTAAAAAAAAAATAAAAAACTCTTACCACTTTAAGTTTGGTGAAACTAAGCTGTAGATAATGATTCAAAAGTCACTCTGTGGGGATTTGAGGCTCCAAGCGATCTTAGGCGATAGGTCCTATTAATTTTTTTTTTGTGATTTCAATGCTGTACACTCTAAAAGAAAAGGTCCTTTCTCTTCTTTCTCCTCTGCCTGCATCTTCTCTTCATATACATCATATCTGCCACACTGTTACAGATTGCGGCTGCCTATAGAAGGTGCATAACACTATAATACTATGATACAAATATTAAATAAAAACATTGAATTCACTAATTTGCTGCATAATTACATCACTCTGACATCACATAAATATACTTGCATCCTCTCCTCCTTCAATTGGAGTATGAGCTGAAACATGAAATGTTCGAGACAAACATCTATTGGACAGCAGTAGGTGTTATTTTACAGTCCTTCAAACATCAGTTTGACTTGTTCATTATTCATATCTGGCTTCATTTATTTTATTTAAATGCCTTTACAATTAGAAATCCTTGCAAAGCCAGAATCTATTTATGTTTGATTGTGCACCTAAAATAAATGTTGATCAGACTATGGTGTCTATCATGCTGGTTTGTTCCTCTGATCCTCTAACTGTTACAGGAGGTGCACTGTAGGAGGATTATGTTTTAGTATTTCGGCCACAAGTAAGTAGATTCTGATAACAGGTTTATGCACCAATTAGTTTGAGGGAAAAAAAATGATATTTTTGGGAACTAACCTGTTTTTCGTGCTCATGTATAGATTTTTTTTCCACCCCATGTCAGTTCCAAGGCTCGGTAAAATAGGAATAAAAATCTTTTCCAGATTTGTCAAGACTGCCTAGGAAACCTAAAAGGCTTATCTGTCCCAGAAATGCAAGGATAGATTTGTTGTGACAAAGTAGGACGATGTGAACGGATGTTACCTTTAGGTCTGGGGGAAGTTTGTGAGAGGGGAGGACGCTGAGTTTGATTTGAGGCAAGCTGATCTTCAGATTCTCAAAGTAATAGCGTTTACGGGGTCCAGTATCCTCACTGGGCCTCTCATGCAGGTTTTCATCCAGTTTCTCCAGCTCTGCAAAAATAACAGATTTTATTTACATCAGAGCACAAACACTCTGCTTAGAGCTGCTCAGACAAACAATTAACTTGATAAAACTCTTTAACCATCAAAGAAAAATAGGATAAAGTAAAACATCAGCTAAGATAACAAAGCTAAAAACAACCATAAATTAAGACTCACCAGCTTCAGCCTTTCCATAACCGAAGAAGCTAAGCAGCTTTAGCAGCAGCTTTTCCTCGATGATGACCGTGAAGCGCCGCGCCGTCACCATCAGGTGCTGTAAAAATATCGAGGTTAAACCATCAGAAAAATGAGGCACTTCTGAACTGTTCCTTCAGCCAGAAAGCCAACAGGGCCATTTTTAATGTGTCTTCAGGTTAATGTTTCATCTTTACTCCAATGAGTTCTGGATCTCAGGAGAGGGAGACTTTAATAAGAACAGGGGCCAGCTCAGCCCTGTTTGATAGAAAGAAAAACAAATGTACGCTAATGGATTATAATTTTTGTTTACATAAACTAATGTGGTATCAGGATAAAGTTATAATGATTTTTAAAGCCAAGACTTTGGATTCATGACTTTTTCCACAGTATTACATCTTTGAATACAGATTTAAGTGTAACATAGACCATGGTTTAATATTTGGTTTGATAACCCAAGATGTTCCTCCGGTATGTTGATGGTTTTTGTTCATCCTTGGCAGGGCTCTGCAACCTTTCATATCCAAAGAGCCATTTTGCTTCGAGTACGGCCAAGAAAAAGTTTTTTGGAGCCGCAAAACATAGCTGCTGGAGAGGATCCAAAGAGCCACATGTGGCTCTGGAGCCGCAGCTTGCAGACCCCTGATCTATGGGATTCAGGCATCACTCTGGTTGGATATTTGACCATTTGTCTTGGCACAATCACCTACCTTTGACCTGGTTTGACACAAATGAGCATTCCAACATGAAAATGATCCAGAACACACATGATAACTGGTTTTGTAATGGATTCAGCAGGCTAATATAAAGCTTCAAGAACAGCCTTTTAAAAGGTTTAACCTAAAGGTTACTGAATATTTGTGGACCATGATTGACAACTAAACAATATAAAGCCATTCAATCAATTCTGTCAGGATGAGAAGTCCAATATTCTGCAAGAATGGTCCCAGAAGTCTGCTGATGACATCAACAACCATCTAATGTGGAAGAAACTTGTAATTTAGCTGATTATTAGAAGGGAGTATGATTATATCTAAAATTGTATGTATCAGTTTGTCCCATTAGAGAAAATTTACCCTAAATTTAAATGTATGCCATAAATACAAGGCTTTTAATCACTGTAGTTGTTATATCATCATTTTACCCTGAAAAAACAAACAGTTTACATGAATAATCAAAGTGCAAAATAAAAATGACATTTAGGTCCATGCTGAGCAGAGCTCCAACTGGAAGGCAACACAGTTAACTAGTTGCACATGAACCTCACCTTGAAGAGCTCCGTTAGCATGAGGCTGCTGGGAACTTTGACTGAGTTGACCTGCAGGGCAGGACCGCTGTCATTTGCACCGCTCTCCCCAGAACTGGGCGTCACACACAGCATCACAGGCTGGGTGGTGCCCAGCAGCTGATTGTCCACCTGATAGAGACACGGTGACATTGGCCTGTGTTACCAGCAGAAGGTCTGCAGGTGAACGGATACATAGAGCGCATGCATGATGTAATCATCACCTGGATGTTCTTGATGCTCAGTTCCAGGACTTCATTGGCTGCAGTGCGGGTGAAGTGAACATCCACCTGAGACAGCGTTACGAAAACAAGTTCCTCAGGAACTTTGTTGACCAAAGAGACGCCCAGGCCCTCCTCCAGGTTAACCAACACCTAAAAATAAACAAAGATCTAGAAAAAGGACTTTTGCAACCAAGATTTCTCCGGTCTTAAGAATCACTGATGGTCTGTAACTGATCCAGACTCAAGACTCTTGATGTATATATATATAAATATATATTATATATAAATATAATCAATCTGAGTCAGTTTCACCTCCAGCTCCTTTTCAGGCTCCATCTTAATTTCTTCTTCTCTGCTGCCGTCTTGTTCTGTGCTGGAGGAGCTCCACAACATTCTTCTCTGATTGAAGTCACTGATCTAAAAACAAAAACAGTATTTCCTCACTTGCTCTGTCCTCTAGGAGGTCAGAAGAGCTTTTCTGGATAATGAATCTGTGTTTTAAATAAACACATACATTTATTTTCTTAACTCAAAAAAGTATTTAGTGTCAAAACAAGTAGAATCAACATCTAATATCTACATAGACTGAAATTACAGTGAAACTGAACATATTGATACAGAACCTTATATTCTGATCGTCAAATTGGACCATTTTATTCTATAGTTAGATTAATTTCATGTATTACTAGTCATAGGCAGAAAGTATTATGGAATAGACGGCAGTTAGTCAGCCAGAAGCTGCAGAACCTGACCTGAAGGACACGCGTCGGTCCATCTGGGAGAACTTGGACTGACAGAACCCCTGATCCAGGTCTCATCTTTTGGTTTATGAACTGCTGCTCTGGACCAGGCTGTTCTAGACCTGAATCCGGTCCCAGAACCACTTCAGCTCCATCGTAAAGTCCCGCAACGCCTCTTTTCACCTGAGGGATACAAGTTCATGTTGTTACAGTAACTGCATTGACTGGTACGACAGATCAGTTCACTAACTGTAAATAAAGGACGGACAATAATTCAATATAAACATATATTAAAATATGTCCTGTTCAATAATAGTAACATGACATTTCTGATATTTCTGTAGTCATTGTGAAGACATTGCTCTTATATTGGCGTTTAATAAACTTGGAAAAATCATTGTTGCAAGTTTTTACAGGCATCTTTCGTGGGCATTCTGTGACACTTTTATTTTGCTTATACTGATATGAAAATGATTTGGTATCGAACTAAAATTAGGAAATATATTGGGGTATAAGTTTTGGCCATTTCTTCCCACTCTACTGTGAACCTTAAAATCAAAGGAAACATTTTTTAATTTTTTATTAAAAGACACTAAAAGAACATCTTGCCCCCTACTTGGCCTTTAATAACAAATCCTTCCTTTGTATTTAGGGTGGTTCATGATGTAGAGCGAAGATAAGATGAATTACTCCTGGGTATACTTGGCATGCATAAACCCTGCAGTGGAAGGCTGAGCCCCTCACTGAGTGAACCGGAACACATGCTGGCACTTGAACACAACACATTTAAAACACTCAGGGGTTAAAGACTGAAAACAGCAGCAACTGTCGGATGTTCTTCTCCTGTTCATCGACTACAATTAGTCAGTCTTCTAAATGGTTTCAAGAAGCATGATGACAAATCCTCTGTCCTCTTTCTACAAGATCGCTGTTTGTTTGGATGGACTTTCTAAGTGTATTCCATACTTTTAAAGCCTTCTTCTTGCCAGATCTCTGCCAGGTCAAGCTACTAGCAGACCATCTTCAGTGTCCCTGGATTTTAATCATGTCTAAGTGGATATTTGGCAAAATTTTATTTAAAATTTTATTCAATTCTAAAATGTATTTTAATTGAAACATTTATCTTATTCTATTTTTATGTGTTTATGTACCATATTTTAGCTTTTATCTTATGTTCCTTAACTGTGATTCCTGTACAGCACTTTGGTCAACCCCGGTTGTTTTAAATGTGCTTTATAATTAAAGTTTGAGTTGAGTTGAGTTGAGTGTGGACACTGTCACAGTGAGAAGATACTGTTTTCAGTATCCCTGAGGTTAATGAAAATGAGATCTGATGAGGGACTGGTAGGTAAGTAGGTATGCTTTATAATAAAAATGACAGCTACAGATAGGACGATTAGAAAACAAAGGTCTTCAAGGATCACATAATTTATCTAAAGTTGATAACAGCATATCAAAACTGTAAGTGAAAACACCAAGATCTAAATCTTGGTTTGATTAGTGTTCCTCTAGACTAGAGGTCACGGATTAGTGGACCGCTGTCCTGATCCGGACCCAACCACATTTAAAACGTATA